GTGAGGTTACAAAAAGTGTTCACTGTCTAAGGTTACTCTAGTTACCTACTATCTTAAAAGAAGTAGATATAGGATAATACTAGTTTCTGATTTGGATAGTGAAACAACATCGGCGCAAAGTTCTAATAGCATAGAATTACAAGAATCTACTTTATTAATTAAAGACATATTTGCAATTTATTTACAACTTTCAATTTGTTGGAGTTTTTTTTTTTTAAGAAAAAAAATAATTTTGAATTATTTTTTTTTATAATTTGTTTATTTTTTAAGAAAGTTTAATTGCATTTATCAAAGCTAAATTACATAGATCACTTTTAAATCATAGATATCTCATCTTGCATTATGTCCATTATTAGGATTATGACCAAAAACTCATTTGCAACAAATGTCAGCTATTACAATATATGCAGTTATAACACTTTTGATATAACTGCTTATCTTTTTGACATAACCATATATCCTCAAGTTTCTGCATCTATATTTACAACACATCCTACTCAAGTTATTAACAGCATTCTTAACCATTATTATCAACCTGTCTATTTCTCTAATATAAAACTGTCTAATGAACTTATAACTAACTTACTACTTATTAAACAGCATATCCTATCATATTTTCATAACTGGACTGTATTTAAACCTATTTATGAAACTCTTTTTAATATCTTTTGACAATAGCACTATCTTCTATTGCCTCATATCGATCCAACCTGGTACCAATCTTTGAACTCTCCTATTACAAATGAAGAACTTTCTCAAACTCTCACTTAGCTTCCTAACAACAAAGCCTGTGATTCTACAGGCATTAATTATAAAATGCTTAAACATATTAGCTCTAAATGCACTTCTGCCATTACTAATCTCTTTAACCATTGCCTTCTTGAAAACAGAATTCCTAAGCAATAGAAACATAGCAGAATTTATTCTATTCCCAAATATAACTCTTTTGATGATAACTTTAACCTTACATGACCTATTAGTCTTGTTGAACATATTCACAAACTATATACCAAAATTTTTACAAACAGACTAAGCTCTATATTCATTTCTAATTCTATTCTCTCACCTTTTAATTATGTTGCACTTCTTAATAATAGCACTTCAATCCCTATTCACATCTTCAATAATCTTATTAAAGATGTTATTTGCAATCACAAAGACATTTGGTTACTTTCACAAGATATGAGTAAAGCATATAATTCTGTCAACTTTACTTTTTTAAAACATCCACTCTCTTATTTGGCACTTCCTTTATCCATTATTAATATCCTTTCTGATCTTTTAACTGATCATTATAACTAAGCCATTACTAATCTTGGTCTTACTTTCTTATATCCTGTTTATAATAGCATTGACCAAGGTAAAACCATTACTTTTTTACTATGCATATATATTATGATTCACTTATTTCATATATACATGCACAAGTATCTGGCTATACCTTACAATCCTCTTGGTCTACTAATCTCAAACTTCAAACACTTAATACTTTACAAAAATAATGCTCTGTTCTGGCATATATAGATAATACTTTCTAGGTTGCTTTATCACAAACTGAGCTTTTTAATATACTATCCATAGCTGAATCATTTTATACTATGACTAATATTCAAGTTAACCTCTCAAAATCTATTCTAGTTACTAATAATTCTCCATCTTACTACATTCCTATCTTCTACAATAATCATCTTCTTCTACTATATTCTTCTAAACAACCCTTTAAATTTTTAGGTTGCTAGTTTACTTTGGACAATAAGCAATCTAAACAAACAAACCTGCTTATTGCTAAATCCTCTCAACTTATTCAAATTGCTAAAACCAAACATATTACTAACTCACATACTTATTATATTATTAATACAATCATCATTTTTACTCTTAAATATCATTCCAAAACATTGTAGTTAGTCAGCTTATCTGCAATAAAATCTTTATTTAGCATATTGGCCTTGTTAAACTCAAAGCTAAACTTTGTTATACAATACTCTCTAGTATCCTTTTACATCTCCAAATTTACAACATTAAACACATTTAAAATATCTAACTATAACACTATATTCCTAACCTTCTTAAATAACTTAATAATCCTAACCTATTAGGCACATCAACCTGTATTCGAATTCAACAACTACAAAACAACCTTTGGTCTCTTACTAATATCTTTTTATATTTTAATCCTATTATTGATAGTTCTAACTATCTAACTACAAACTTTAAAATTATCCAGCTTATCAAACATATTGGCTGAATATTTTTTACTAATCTAACTTATAACATTCTATTTATATTAAATGATAGAGCTATTTCTCTTGAATTCCTTCTTTCTTCTTATCCCAAATATTTCATTTTCAAAAAGCAACTTAAATATTACAAATTACTCTTTCTTGACTAACTTACTATATATGATAATTCATGCTTATTATATTGGAAACACATTTTCTCTAGATTAAACAAGCTTCTTAAGATGTTGTATCTTAATGGTTTACTATTTTTGAGAACATTAAGACAAGCCATTCTCATCAATGCACTCTATATGATCACTTTAACCTAACTCAAACAAACTACTTTTTTTATATCACTAGCTACTTTATCTCTAATACCAAATACTGATTACTTACTGTTCTTAATAATCAAATAATTATTAGCAAGGCCAGAAGGCATAATACTTCTACAGGCCTTACTCTTATTACACACTGGCATTGCTCATATTAGTCTTAGTTTTCAAACCTATATTCTACTCTCCTTTTAACTACTATATTATGCTCTAAATATTATCTTAATTCTAATACAATTGCCAACAAATGCACTATCTTTATTTCTACAAACCTGGCTACAAAACTATTCTGCTATATTAATACTA